ATGGTTATTGGGCATGGATATAGGGAACTCCTGTAAGAGATTTTATAATTTAGAAGTAAAATATATATACACACCAATTACACACATGTAGGTACAATAGTGAAAATCCAAAGTGAAGATTGAAACATTTAAGGAGGCTTTAATGTTAATTAGACTCATTTTTTAAAGAAAAGGAGGCTCACACATTTAAGTAAGGAATAAGCAAAGATTTGTACTCCAGTAGACATTTCCTAAATACACCATTCTCTTCTAAGAGCAATTGCAGTGCTTCCCAACGTGCCCATCAGAGGTCTCTCCTTTGGCCCCACTTCTTCCTATACCCACCCCATCAGTAAAATTTTGTCTGGTTCCTGTGCTTATGTTACAGTGGTGGAGATGATCCAATTAGGTCTATTGGTAGGACTAAGTTCAAGATTCTATTGAAGAAATAAAAGAATTTGACTCCCATTTCCCTTTTGTCACCCTAACCACCTTGTGTTTCCATTGCTTTGCATTTGCAGAGAAAATCTTCAGGGAAGGGCTTATCATGTATCCTTGGAATTCACACTCTTGGCACCCTCAATTATGCCAGTGACACCAGCAGGTAAGCAGGAAAGATCTCTTGTACATTCATGAACCCTCTTCAGAGATGCAGCTACGTGTGTGTTAAGGCTGATGATCTGTTTCCTGTTTCGTAATAAGCATCTCTCCAGAGGGCTGCAGATTTCTTCAAGGCCCTGCAGGAGAGGTAAACAAAATCATCAGTAGGTGAGACTTTACAGTACAAGGAGCTTCTCCATATAACATGTGCTCTTTTACTTGATTCAGGGCAATGTTGTCATTGTCAACTATATCTGATAGACATTTTTTTCTGTTGCCCAGCGAAGGGAGTCAAATACACTGCATTGTTTTTTAGCAGATGAGTTCACCTTTCCTATAAGGAAGAGATTGAGTTTTTATTTCATTTTATTCTCTTTTGTACCCCAAATCATCAATTGTTCTTTTTTCTAGTATTAAAAAAAGTCTCTGAGTCCCTATAAGATAAAGCATATACCTCTATACCAACCCATCCTATATCTACCCACCCATCATATTGTATAATGTGAAGGATATTTTTTTAGGCTTTGGGGATATAGCAATGAGTAGGAGAGACATGAGTCCCATCTACATGGAGTTCTTGGTCTAGGTTGGGAGACATATATTAAATAATATATTACCACAATGTTATTTAATCATGATTGTGATAAAGGTCACAAGTGAAGAGAAGCAGGTGTTGCGAGAGTGGATGTTAGATTTAGTCCTGGGGATGAGGGGAGACTGAGATGAAGAAAAGGCATTTATGAGCCTTGGAAAGCAGATAGAAATTGAGAAGGCGATATGAGGGGAGGTAGTGGGCTGAAGAACATTCTAGGCAGAAGAAAAGGTGGCAAAGGACAGGAAATGGTAAGGGGCAAAGAGTTCTGTAACAACTGAAGAGAAGCCAGATATCTGGAAGGTAGAAGAGGGAAATGGGAGTGGTGGGGAGTCTGAAACTGGGAGCACTGTCCAGAGGTCAGATCAGGCCAGGACTGGCCTTATTGGCTTCATTCAAGACACTGGTATTTTCTTTTTTTTTTTTTTCCTAATTGAAAAGAAAGAGAAACTTATTACACCCAGATCATGGGCTGTTAATTTTTTGTAGGGGGGTGTGAATACACCAAGATGAGTACAGATTTTCAGTTCCAGCAAGCTTCTCTGTTCTTGGTCAGTTATCACTCTCTGATCCACACATTTATGTCCCTGGACCCTGTAGGCATCTAAGTTTGTAACTCTGAGCGAGATGATTGGAGAGTCCCCTCCAGCACATAAATTATAAAGCCTGATAAGGCTCTGCAGGGGATACAGGGACAAATAACACAGAGCCCTGGTCTTAAGAAGCTTGAAATTTAGTAGGGAAGCAAGGCATTTTCACTAAGAAGTACCTAGAAGGCAGTAGGAACACGATAAGAATTATTTATTATCATTGCATTGTTGATGTTGTTCCCTGAAGGGTCTCATGTCCATGCTGGGCATACAGATGCCCTATAATAAATAGTTGTTGAGTAAATGATTCACAAGGCAGTGACAGTCTGGGGACCAGCAGGGTGGGGAAATAAGAGCTGTAAGCTGAAAGACTCTGTAATTACCGGACAATATCTCCAAATGCTTCCAACATGGGCTTACTCACATACGGCAATCCATGCTTGGCACACAGTGACCTCACCAGGGGTGCCACCTTGTGATAATTATGGCGTGGCATTGTGGGAAACAGACTAGGGAAACAGAGACAGGAGATACAAAACTTAGATAAAAAGATCTTAGATAAAAACCCTGAAGGAGTTTTCTTTCCCCTATTACTAGATAAAACTCTATTAGCAATGCAGGCCCAACCTTGACATTGTACAGTACTTCTCTTCTAGGAAGTTCAAAACTCTTGTCAAAACACTCTAATCTTATCTCTTAATCCTCTGCAAGCCCTGTGGGTGGCAAATGTTTGGGAAGACTTAAGAGAATTACCTCTATCAAATATATTTATTTTTGGCCAGGTCAAATGAAAGTAGAGGGTTTTCTACTATTTTGAATTACCTAGAGAGCTGGAGATATCTCTCCCCCCACTCTTTGTCTCTCTCTGTATATACATTTAACTCCTGTACAATGAATGTGTTGAGTATTCAGTAAGTTTCAGTCAAGGTATGTGGGGGAAAGTTCTAGGATAGAAATAAGAAGTGAGGAGAGATGGGTTTTATCCAAGGCTTTCACTAATCAGCCAGATGAACTTCTTGGCCTTTAACCTTCTCTTTGATAAAATATGAATAATAATCTTTACTGTTTTGCTGAGATTTTAAAGATTTTCTTTCTTTCTTTCTTTCTTTAATTTAGAGAGAGAAAGTGAGAGAAAGAGAGAGAGAGGGCACTGGGGGGGTGGGCAGGGGCAGAGAGAGAAGGAGAGAATCTCCAGCTGACTCTGGGCTGAGAGCTGAGCTCAGTGTGGCACTTGATCCCATAATGCTGAGATCATGACGTAAGCCAAAATCAAGAGTCAGATGCATAACTGACTGAGCCACCCAGGTGCCCCTTGCTGAGATTTTAAAGGACTAACAGGAGAGAAAGAATGAGAAAATCCCATGAGTAGATAATAAGATCTTTTTCCTTCTCTATCATGGATATGGCTTAGATGAATAGGATGTGGAAAGTCTCTTCCTCGAATATTCTGGAGAGACTGACTTTCAAAGTACTATCATTTTTTCTTTCTTTAGTGCACGTCCACATAACTGCCCATTGGTAAAGTATTTCCAGATATCATTTGGAAATTGCAGCAGGAACTGGATTTCATTGTTAATTATTTTGTAACCTCAGCTCTAAAGATTTAGATTGATATTAATATTAAATCTTAATTAAGTTTCAACACAACTTGGTTACACAAGTATTATGATTTTTCTTGGGTTTTGCCAACAAACCACATGCAAAACCAAACCAAAACAAAACAAAACAAAAAACAATCACCAGTTCCTAGGTCCTTGGGGATCTAGAAATTGAGTCATTGGTATTTTTTTCAAGATTTCACTTCATTTACTCACAATTGTTACACCTTCTTTTCTTTCTTCCCTTCCTTACCATTAATGTTTATAGAAAGATAGCAGCCTTTAGAAAATTCTGGTTCATTTTTTCCCTCTGAAATCTTGTGTGTAGGGCTCTGCTCTGGACTGTATGGGGGGGACTGTCCTAAGTGACAGCCCTTGCCTTTTACCATGGACTGTTGTTATTACTCACTGGTGCTCGATTTGGAAGTTCAGGTGCTCAGTGAACCAGTCATTGAAAAAGGACTGTTCAACATTACAGGTGGCCAAGACCTGCAAAGAAAAATCTTACATTAGATGTAAATGAGCCAAGTGTTAAAGAAAATATTTATTTATTCCTTTAATAAGTTAATTGTTCAACAAGTACTTATTTTGTAAGTTTTCATGGATGAGGACTCTGGCAGAGGAAAGTGGGATTGTAGGATTTTGGTAGAGATTGTAGGGGTTAGAATACCATTTCCATAGAGTACACTTGAAGGACTTCTAGATGGGAAGTAAGGCATTCAATTGTTCCAATCCTGGGTTCTGGGCATAGAAGTGCATTTCAGTGTAAGTAGTTTTCTTTGTAATCTAATATATTTTATTTTATGAATTTAAAACCCTTATCCTAGGAAGGGGTTCATGGGCTTATCCAGACTGCCAAGATTAAGAACTCTTATGAGTGTTACTTTATTCAATGCCTTTCTAAGGTTTAATTCTAGTTGGGGTTGCCATTTTGAATGTTATTTTTGTGGTTGTTCTATGTCAGTGTTTCTCAAAGTGTACTTCAGCACACCTTGGGGTTCTCTAGGAACCTTTCAGGGGATCTGCAAGGTCAAAACTATTTCCAGAATACTTCTAAGATAGAATTTGCCTTTTTCATTTTTCAAACTCTCATGCCTGTACAGTGGATTTTTTTTCCAGAGGCTTCTAAATATGAGATGGCATCATCAGTCTGATGTTTAAAGTGTATTGATTGGTTTTATTTTTGTTATTTTAAAGTTAATTAATAAATAAATGTTTTAAAATTCTGTTTCAATTTCAAATATAGTAAATATCAGTGGATATAATCTACATAAACAAAAGCTCTTTGACGTTTTCAGTAACTTCTAAGAATATAAGGTGGTTCTGTGGCCAAAAAGTTTGAGGACCAATACTCTATGCTCTAATTGAAGGTCCACTGAATTTAGGAATGAGCTTGGAGAACGTGGTATAATAACAGGATTCTCCAGTTAATTATGACACAGTCAGTGGAAAGCTTAGGAGGCTGGGGTATTCCGCACTGATCATAACTCTGTTTATCTTTAACAGCATGCTCAGAGAACATGCCATGTCTCCTCTCTGGGCCTTTCTATCTATACAATGAAATGAGGTGAATTCCAGGGTCCTTCTAGGTGTAAGATTCATTTTGTAATTCTAGGAACTCAGATTCACTTGAAAGGCTGTGTTGTGTGGGGGATGGGTCAGCAAACTTTTTCTATAAAGTGCAAGGCAATAAATCTTTTGATTCTCTGTTATAGTTACTCAGTTTTGTTGTTGTAGAATGAAGGCAGGCATAGAAAATATGTAACTGTACAAGCATGGCTGTATTCCAATAAAATTTTATTTACAAAAACAGGCAATGGGCTGGATTTGGCCCTTGGACTATAGTTTACTGACCCTTCGTTTAGAGCGATGGCTTTGAAATCAGACTGCCTATGTTTAAAACCTGCTTTCTACCACTGACTAGCTGTGTGATCTTATACAAATTACTCAACTTCTTTATGCCTTAATTTTATCATCTATGAAGTAGTAAAACCATAGCACCTGTATCATGTAGTTACATGCAAAGCAGTGGACAGTGCCTGGCCCCTAGTAAGCATTCCACAAGTATAAATTATTATTATTTGAGGTAACCAGACTAAATCAGTATGGTCTCAAGGATCTTCTCTTAGGAACTTCACATTACCTGGGTGCTGAACCAGTTCCGGTTCTCCTCTGTGCTCATTTTCATTGGTATATGGCTCATTTGGGTAACATATGTCATCCAGGGACTTTCAAGAAACCTTTCAGAGAATAAAAGGAGGAAGTGATAACTCCTTGGGGTATTTCAGTTCCTATCACTGGGCTTGTACAACTGCTGGCAGATCTGGCTGAGCATTGGAAGAAATGGAAGGGAATCAAAGATTCCAATAAGATGGTAGTCCTTTGTTTTCCTCTTTGGAGGCCCTTTATATATAGAGATGACACACTAGGCTTTGGTCACGTGACCAGCCTTGCAGCCTAATGAATGGGAGCAGTAACCCCAAAGTTCGCTGCAGCATTGGCCCAAGGATCAAAAGATACCTAGGACATATGCAAAGTGATGACAACTTTGGCTTTGTCATCAGATAGAACTGAATTCAAGTTCTGGTTTGGCACCAGCACTGGCCCTTACTTGCTCTATAACCTTGACAAATGATTTAATCTCTCTGAGCTTCAGCTTTCTTAGCAGAAAAATGAAGACGATGCTATCCTACATCATCAAAGGATTGTTCAAGGATTACATCAAATAGGATAACGCAGATAAATCCTTTATCCAAGTGCCTGATGTATAGTAGCTGTCAATATCCTTATTATTATGTAGGGTTTAGAATAATAATGTGAAAGAATGGGCAAGGAATAAATTGGAAAGTTGAAGAGAGCTCTTTAGTCATTTTGGTTTTGGGAAAATCTCTAGTCATAAAATAACCAGTAAAAATTCCTGTCCTTCCATTATTTTTGGCAAGGATTATGGTGTCCAGCTGGATTACAATTCTAAAGAAACTGGGTGTCGGATGGGATTTTGCAATTGGGAATTAAACATGTGGAAAGAAAAGGACAAGATTGGGCAAATTCTTTTTCCAAGGAACTTTTCTTTTTCAACTTTTTTTTTTTTTTCATGGAAATGTCTCAGTTACAGAGAATCAGGCCTGCTGTCCCAATCTTCTGCTAATCACAAACAGCTCAGATAAGGAAGGTAAGAGGATCATTTAGGTTATGGGAATAAAAGAATATTCTTGCTTTCTTACTTGACCACATATATGAGCAACATGGTTCCGAAGATTCCATAGAAAGGGCCTAATGTGATGAAATAGCGGATGTAAAAGCTGCTGACCCAGGCAATGTCCTGCAGAGAGAATGACTGACCATTAAATGTCCTGGACACAATTTCATTTCCCCTTCATTGGGCGAGGGCTAAGTCTTATGCCTTATTAGTCAAGGAAGCTACATCTGGAAGGGACTAAGCATTTTCATGTCCCCTTTTCTATCTCATCTAGCTTCAGAGGATGAGTCAAGTTACTCACATCCCAATATCTTTGGAAGTACATCAGTTGCACGGATTTCATGTTGAAATATACAGGTATGAGGAGAGGGATCCCAACTGAAAAAGAACAACAACAAACAAATATGGTGAGTAAATGAGTAGAATGTGACCCTAGTGCATGTCACTCCTGGAATGTTGCCCTGAGAAGCGATGCAAAGTGGAGATCCACAGCCACATCCTGGACTCCATGGGGGTCTTTGAGTCTCTGAGGCTGAAACAGGAATTTGGTTCAAGCTCTCTCAAGAAGACTAAGGCAGCTTTGAAAATTTGAGTCATTCTTGATAGAGGCATCCCAGAAAAGCTTCTGCTTTGAACTTTCATGCTTTCTCAAGGTACATGGAATCCTTCAGTCCATCACAATCCTTAGGATTGATTGGGCCCTGTCACAATATGTCAAGGTGGTAGAAATACAGAAGCAATACTCATTTTCTGACCAGATGGTTATTTACCTGCTTCTCCCCCAGGACCAGTGAGGCTGCCTAGAGTACAAAGGAGTCTAATGGAGTCCCTCTGAGTTTTGACAACTCTGTCCTTGACCAGACTTTAGTTAGAGCCTTCTTTTTTGACTAGGTCTCACTGTTGGCCTCCAGACTCTCAAACTCTACAAACTCTTAGCACAAATGATTTTGTCTATACCCCACACTGAGAGACTAGTACAACAGGAGCAGAGTTTCTAACAGCTCAAGGCCACACCTTTGGGGTGACCCCAGACCCTTAGAGGTCTGCCTGAGAAAGTTCAATACTGCCAAAACTGACTATAGGTCTCAGACCTTCCTTTTCTTAGAGTATTTCTGTTAGAAAACTTACAATTGTAAAATCCTTTCTTTTGTCTCTTTGAAATACATCTCCTACAACCCAGAAATATCTTTCTCAAGGACCTGGGAGTCATTCCTTTGAATATAATTGTCCAGGATAGGCCCTGTCTCCCAGTCTCTCTGTGGGGTGAGGGAAGTGGGACCCTAACTTTCATAAGCACCAGGTAGCAGACACAGATGGCCTAATCACACTGACCAACTTTCTCTCCCCTCAATGTCTCTTGGTAATTTCCTTAGCACACCCAGTGTTTAAAAAAGTCTCCCACCTTTTGTTTTAGCAGAACTAAGCTCAGTTTATACTGAAGTCCCTTTCCCCTACTACAGAAGCCTGAATAAAATCTGTCCTGTCAACTTTAAAAAATTCCAGTTCTGTTTCTCTTTGACAGTTTGAGCATGACGTACTTGTACCTGAGATGCTAAGTTGGCAATTGAAGGAAAAGGACACAATGAAACAGCTCCCAAGGGCAGAGTTCTGTGAGATGGGCATTCTGCAGTGAATCCACACCATCCATTTATTACTCATAAGCTAAGGTCATATTGCAGCACTACAGACAGGGAAGAAGGCTCAGAAAAGAAATTCCAACAGCTTTTTTCTTATATGAACACACCTCTGGTTAGGCTGGAGATCAGCTACCTTTCAAAATGGGGCACTGATATCCTCATTCCTCTTTTTGGTCATGCAGGAGGAGAGGGTGACTATCATAGGAAGGGGCTGCAGAATTCCAGCAGTGGAAGGGGCAGCAGTGGAGATTGACCCCCATACCTCAAAAAATGGGCCCACAGGCCATCCTGGTCAGGCATGTTACAGATGACCACTGGTGCCCAACATTTGGGCAAATCAGATAATCTGCAACAGAGTCTCTCAATCCCAGCAATATTGGCATTTGGGCCTGGTAATTTCTTGTTGTTATGGGCTGTCCTGTGTATTGTAGGGGGTTTAACAGAACCACTGGCTTCTACCTACTGGGTACCAGCCCTATCCCTTCCCCTCCATTGTGTTAACCAAAAATGTCTCCAGACATTTTTGTCTAAGTCCCATTGGGACAACATTATTTCTGGTAGAGAACACTGATCTACAGGAAATGTTTGGGACCTTCCCTGATTTTGTCTTATTTCTCAAATGTGTAAGCATTTTTTAGATGAGTGTATTTTGGGGTTCCATGAAAACTTTGTGAACTGACATGAATTTGATTTTGGTTAAGAACAAAGCATTTTTGGGGAGGGGGTGGGAGGATGGGTTGGCCTGGTGGTGGGTATTGAGGAGGGCACGTTCTGCATGGAGCACTGGGTGTTAT